CCCCCCCCCCCGTGCCGCAGGCCGGCCCTCTCGCGCCGGCCGTGCATCGTCCCTCCTCCTCCTCCTACTCGCCCATCTGCCTCCCTCTTTGCCGCCTCTCCTGCCCTTTACCACCTCGTGCATTTGCCCCCTCGCCGTGCTCGTCGACGACGAACAGATATTAACCTTGCTGGCTGATTATGCGCTCGTCTTATGACCCTCCATGTGTCCGATGATACCTTTACACAACGGCCCTGGCCGAAAAAAAAACGGAACAAAAAACCCCGAACCAACCAACAACCCACCCAACCCCCACGGAACCAACGAACGAACAAACAACCTCGATCCCAAAAAAAAAAAAAACACGCACACACGCGAAAATGTGCCAACGCGCACCCGCGCCCTCGCGTGCCCACTCAACCATGCACGCGAACATATGCACCTATCGCCCCCTTCACCTGGGGGCCGGTGTTGCTCAGCCTGCCGCGCAGGCGCCGGCTCTTGGGCAGCATTACTTCTTCGACACCGACCTGTCGTCCTTGAGCCCGGAGCTTTTCGACCCTCCGGAATCGGGCGCCACACAGGCACATGATGACTCATCCTCGGATGACTCGGAGGCCAGCGACGTGTCGGATGCCGATTCTTGTGATGGCCCACTGGAAGCTGATGGGCATGCCAGTAGCCGTGGTCCAAGTACCTCGCCTGCTGCCGATGATTTCAGCGCGGACAGCTCCTTCACCATCGAGCTGACCGCTCCCCTGGGCCAGGCCCCGCAAGACGGCCCCTTTGTGCACCCCAGCGTGCGGGCAAGCAACCCACCCTCGATGGACCCGCTGGCCGTGCCGCCAGCCATGTCGAGCCGGCACACCTTTGATGTGAGTGCACACCAAATGGCCGCACACCTGGACCGGCTACTGGACCAGCTGGCCTGCGCAGTTGATGCCGAGGCCCGGGGGCCCCCGGTGGCCGGGCTGTCAATTGGCTCGGCCTCCCTGTCCGGGTCGCTGGAGCTGCTGGCCCACGCCGGATCGCTGGCCCACGCGGCCTTGACATCGGTGCTGGAGGACATGAGCGCCCACCCTGATGATAGACCTGCTCGAACCGTGCGTCGACTCCCGCTTGCTCCAGCGTGTCTTGCCACCCTCCCCCCCCCCCCCGGATACTGGGGCTGCATGGGCCCGCGCATTTCGCCCACCAACTCACGCCTCTCCGGAAGCGCTCCTATTAACGCACATACTCAAAAACATACACCATCTTGCGCTCCTCCCTGTGCGCCCCGCCCCCCCCCCCCCCACACACACACATACATACACATACATATATATGTATATATATTTATCTACGCCTGCGCACACACATATACAAATGTGCCGGCACGCCCATACAGACCCCTTCCCAGATTCAGGCAGCTCGGCGATCGATCGAGAGCTCGTTCAGCCGCCTGGCGGGAGACATTGCTCGCTGTCTATCGGATCATGCTCTCGGTCAGTGTCCCTGCCATCCTCACTTTCGTTATCCCTCTGTATGCACCAACTGCATCTCCAGGCACTGACCCTACCGACCCTTCTGGGCCTTGTGCATTGGCCGAGTAGCCTTGCAACATGCCGGCCCGGGGTTGGAGTTGGTAAAACTACAGGCCCCCTCGCCAGCCAGCCACTCGGTAAACTCCCTGTCTTCCGAGGCTCCGGGGCCGATGGCCTGGCTGGCAGACTCTACCCCAGGTCCGGCCCCGGTCAGCAAGCCCGGAAATCCCGACATCCTGGCTGTTGCTGCTTCTACTGCTGATCCTCGGGCTGATCCTGTTGCTGATCCGGCTCTTGTTTCTGCCCCGGCTGCTGCCGCTGCCGCTATCCCCGTTGTTGTTGCCATCCCTGCTGCTGTTCCCTTTGCGGCTGCCGCTGTTGTTGCTGCTGCCGCTGCTGCCCCGGATCCCTTTGCCGATCTTATGATCGATCTTACGGACGGCCCCGCTGCCGTGGATCCTGCTGCCGCACTTGCCCAAACGCCGGCCAATCAGGCGGATACATCGGTGCCCGGTGTACCAGCCGGCAGCACCTCGGCAGCTGCAGCCACCAGTAGCATCCCCGAGATCGCTGCCGAGGATACCGTCACCAAGGGCAATACTCCGGGTTCTTGTCCGGAGGCAGGTCCCCCTGCCGACATCCCAAAGCCAGATGGCCTGAGGGCTGATGACTCCCATCCGGAGCTGGTCTCCTCCTCGGTGCAAGAGGCTGCCACCGACATGAGCAGCAGCAGCAGCAGCAGCAGCAAACGCAAACTGACGGATCGTGGCAGTCGTCCGGACCAGGATGAACCGATCCCGGACGGGGCTTTGAGCCCCCGGTCCAAGCGCCACCAGCCCGAATTGCCGGATGATGGCCTCTGGCCATTGCCACCCCCGCGGGCTGCGCATGCCAGCCTGCCGGAGCCCTTCAAGCACCTTGTTGATCGGTTCTTCCAAATTGCGCGCAACGCGCCCAACCGGCTGGAGGCCAGCCTGCCGACCGGTCAACTCGCCACCCCGGTGACCCATCCCCTGGCAGCCGAGGTCCTGACCGGACCGCTGCCCGACGCGTCGGCCCTCTTCAGCTTTGATGGGTACATTTGGCTGACTGGCTGCGATATTTCCAACCTCGTGGGGCTGCTGCTTCCCGGGGCTGGCCGGTCACTCGGGGTGGGCGCGGGCACCGTGCTGCTGCCGGTGCCAGGCTCGAGCCTGGGTCTGGTGTCGAGCTCGGCCCCGAGCCCGACCATGTCACCGAGTGTGCCATCCATCTCGGAAGTCGTCAATGACGGGACCGACGGCTGGCAGCTATCCCAGCCGACATCCTCCGCGGGTGCCACGGATGGGGATGCTTCTTTGCGGATTGATCCCTTTGTGCCGATCTGCCTGCATGATCTCTTTGGCAGTTGCAAGTTCCAGGGCTGCCAGCTGCAACACACCAACAACCCCCGGCCGCCGGCCGAGAAAGAGGCACCCTCGGCCGGGGTGTCCGCCTCGGAGGGGCCCGATGCCCGGCCAACAGCTGCGACTCCTCGACCGCCGCCTGTGATGCCGGGCTCTCGGCCGCTGTCGACGCTCGCCAAGGAGGACTTCGAGCAGCTCACGACCGCCGAGCTATCCCGGGCCCTGGGCCATTACAATGGCGGGCTCCTGTTCCGGGGCCTGCAAAACATGGCCCGGCCGCCATACCACTCCCGGCATTCGCACATCAACCCGCCGCCGAGCGTCGAATCGAATATTCGCCCCCCGGGACTGGCCTCCACGACGGTGAATTCGCGCCTGGGCCCCAGCCGGCCCTGGACCCAAGTGACCCCCCTGAGCTCGCAGCACCGGTACCTGACTTCGCCCTTCTCGGGGTTCAGCATCAGCCCGGCGTCCAGTTTTGCGCCACTGTTGGGGCAGCTGCGCGAGGCCCTCTTCGACCTGCCGGCTGAGGGGGATGTGCCTCTTCTGCAGTACCTGCCCCCGGTCGGGGGGCCCCGGGCTCCGCCTTCGCGTCCGGCTGCCCAGCCGGCCGGGACTCCCGGCGGCCCGGGGCCCGACACTGGCCCCGCGCATGGGGACCCGTCGGAGGTGTCGGTGGGCAAGATTCACGAGTCCGTGGCGGCCTGCCTGCGGGCCTGTCTGGATCGGCTGTACCAAGCTCGTGTCTATGCCCAAAGGTTTTCCATCTTCCGGGAAGGCGTTTCCCCGGACAATCCACTGGATGTGGCCCTGTACTTCCTGTCGACCGGGACGGACATCCTGCGGGAGGCCATTCAGCAGGTCCAGCACCAAGTCCAGGAAGTGTCTGCGCAGTCGGCCAACACGCCGGCCATGCGGGACCTGCGGGCTCGGAAAACCCGGGACCTGCTCACCCTGCTGGGCATGGACAGCGCCCTGTGGGGCTTTGCCTTTGAGTTGTATTGCGCCCGGGCCACCATGGGCTTGGTCAGTCTGAAGACCATGCTTCCCTTTCAGCAGAAGGCCGTCGATGTCATGCAGCAAATCCTGGAGTTCCATACCCCCTGGCCGTCGGCCCGAGCGTGGCTGGCCCAGCGCCAGGCGCAGGACCCGGACAATCCGACCGACCACAAGAGCTCGGCGGCCTCGCCGTTGCCCTTGTCCATGGTGTTGGACATGGAGAGCTTGGTGAGCGTGTCCCCGAGTTTGCTGACGGTCGAGCTTCGCCAGGCGGCCGGGCTCTGGTGGCGGTTCATCCGCGCGGCGCGCTTGTCCCTCCCGGTGCACATTGCCTGCCATGATCAGGCCATTTCGCGCTTCCGGTGGACCATTTCCCTGCTGGGTAGTCTGATGCTGGAGTGGACGCCCGCGCTGGCCACCCTGGCGGTTGATGCCCGGCGGTACCTGCCGGCCGAGCCCCTGTCACACCATATGGTCCGGCAGGCGCTCAGTCGGCCGATAGTCGAGGCGGCTCTGCTGGCGGCCAAGTTGGCCTCCGAGGGGGCGCTCTCCTCGCACTTGACGCACCCGCCCATGGACCTCCACCAGGCATCTGTTCAGGTCCGCTTCTCGCCGGAGTCGCTGGGCTCGACATTGCCGGGGGCCGATGCTTCGGCCCCCAAGCCCGGGGGCGCTTCACCTGCCAAGGCGGCCAGCGTGCCGGACCGCCGCCAGCAGCACTGGCAGCATCACCATCCTCGACTCGGTGCTTTGCTCAGTCCCCGGTGGCAAAATGCCCTCGACTGGTTGTCGATCGTGTGCCACGCCGAGTCCGAGGAGATGGTCACACTGCTTGCTGGAGATGCGTATGAACCTGTCTGCGGCGCTGGCAGTGGTGCCGGCGCCAGTGCCGGCACCAACACCGGCACCAACACCGGCACCGGCACCGGCACCGGCACCGGCACCGGCACCGGCACCAATGCCAGTACCAGCACCAGTGCTGGCTCGGATAAGCAGTCGCGGGGTCCCGACACTCGGCCGCCCATCTTCTCGAAACCATGCTTTACCCTGCCGATGTTGCTGAATATGGACCGGAGCCTGCGGACTGTGGCCATGGCCACGGCCTTGTCGGAATCCCACTGCCAGACCGCACACTGCTTGTGTGACTCGCGCATGCGGCACCAGCTTCCCCGCCCGGCGGCCGTCGTCCTGCGCAGGGTCCTGGACCGGGTTGAGCAGGGGGCCGCCGGCGCGGGCCTGCCATCGGGCAAGCCGTCCGGCTCGCTGCTCAGTACTCTGGCCCCGACCGAGGCGCTGGCCCTGTGGGTGGGGTATGCCTCGGCGACGGCCCTGCACTGCCATCTGACGCCGGTGCAGCTGCATATGACCCCCACGCCGGGGGAGGCCCCGGGGCCGGACGCACCCGGGCAGCTGGGGGCAGATGCGCTGCTCTTCTGGGCCCCGCCGGGCCTGCTGCCGGAGGCCCTCTTCACCGGGGACCATCTCGACCAGATGAGCGCCGCGGCGGCCGACGGTCGGCTGCATGTGGACTGGCTGGAATGGGTGTCGCGGGCCGGCCGGCCCGGTGGGCTGGCCTGCTCCCTGAGCCAGTCCCGTCACGGGCTGTCGCTGGACCGGGCCCTGGGGTCGGATTCCCCGGAGGCAGAGCTGCTTCACCGGGCCGGGAGCATGTGCTCCAGCCTGCTGCGTGGCCAGCCCCTGTGGGATGTCCTGTTGAATGGGCTGGCCGTGAGCTTTGACTTGCTGTGGGAGCAGCAGCACCGGACCCAGGTGAGCGATGGTGGCGCCCTGCAGGAGGCCCTGACCGAGTCGCTGGCGGTCCTGAACTCCGTGCTGCTGATGATGCTCGGCCTGGCGCAGGCGGCCGCCGCGGCCGGGGTGTGCTTCAATTGCGGGGCCCCGCATTTGGTCCCCGGGTCATCGGAGTCGGGGCACACCTGCGACTACCGGCAACTCGGGGCCAACACGTATCCGGAAATCCGGTCGGATGCCCGGTGCGATGCGGTGGTGCAGATGATGCTCCGGCTGGAGGTGGTCATCCGCGGGGTGATCTTCAGCCGGGGCCGCGGCCCGACCTCCTCCCAAGACCAAGTGGCTTCGGCTTTGATGGGGCTGCCGTCGCTGCTGGCGGCGGTGGTCCTGGCCCGGCAGCTGCCCGATGGCCTGCTGATGTCGGCCGAGGGGCATTCGCCGAACCCGGTGCATGCGGTGTCGCTGATTGGCCGGCTGACCTTGCGCATTTTGAAGGGCACCATCCCGGGGCCGCCGTCGGCACTGGCCAGCGGGCCCTCGTCCACCAGCATGACCTTCATGCACAGCCTCCAGGGGGCGACTTTGGGCCTGGCGACGACGCTTCACCACTTCTCGGCCGGCACGCTGGGCTCCCTGCGTGGCGGGCCTGGCTCCCTCCCGGGGGAGGAGGGCTCCTCGTCCGGCGACATGGCCAGGCACCGACCAGCCAAGCGGGGCTTCTTCGACTTGAAGGTCTTCGCCACGGCTGTGCACGGGGGGCTGACCTCGGCGCGCCTGGCCGCGGTCCAGGTGGACGCCCAGACGCCGGGCGGCACGGATGGCACATTGCTCGGGCGCCTGGTGCTGGACATGTGCCAGGTCGTGCTGGAGTCCCAGGCCCCATCGACATCTGAAGCCTCGGGCTCGATGAATGGGGTGCTCCCCGCCGGGGGGGCTGGATCTGCCTCGCGCCTGCCATTGGCCGGGGCGGGGCTGGTGAAGCCGGACACCCGGGCCGGCCTCACGCCGGTGGGCTGGCAACTTTTGCTGATGGCCGGACCGGATGTCCTGTTCTGGTCGTGTGACCAGGTCGACGGAGGGCCCGACTCCGGGCCTCGGCCCGATCGACACCCGGTGGTGGAGCTGCTGGCCGCGGCTCTCGGCCTGCCGGCCACCTGCTCGCGGGAGGCCTTCTTCCAGGAGCTCATTCGGCGGGCGGCGCACGATATGCTGGGCAGGTCGGCCGGCCCGGGCATCGGCCGTGGCTGTCTGAGCGCCTGGGCGCTGATGCATGCGCACCTGGTCGTCGGCGAGACCCTCGAGCGGGAGGCCAGCATGCGCCGGACGCTGCTGGCCCTGACATACAACACCCGCATCAATGCCAACAGTCCGATGGCGCTGGTTCACACGCGGCCCTGGTTCTATGACATTTGGACGGAGGGCGATGCCGGGGTGCCGGCCATCGGCGGGCCTCGAAGCGCGGCCCTCCCCCTGACGGATGACAGTGGTCTGCAGTATCTGGTGGCCATGCTGGAGGGGCAGCTGGCTCGGATGCCGCACCAGGCGCCGATTCAGATGGCCACCCTTCGAGCGGCGCAGCACGAGTTGGCCACCCGCTCGGACAAGTGGATCTCCGTGTATGGGGTGCCGCAGCATGCCCTGGCGCACGAGCTCCTGGACATGGCCAAGGCCCTGGCCCGGCGGCACATGCACACCCCCCTGCTCGCCCGGCTGACGCGCAACAGTGTGCAACTGTCCTACTCCAAGGGCCGCATGCAGCCGATTCGCGACCGGATGATGGATGCCCTGTGCCACAGGTCGCAGGCGGATGTGCGCCTTTGGCTGATGGCCATCCGCCTGGAGGTCGCCAGCGAGCACTTCCCCTCGGCGCGGTGGCTGTGCCGCGCGGCCTTGAGCATTCACCCCCTGGACGCACGCCTCTGGGCCGCGTACTGCCATGTGGAGATGCTGGCCGGCGGCCCGACGGCCATGCTCAGCCTCCCCCGGACGTATGCCCCATCGCCGGAGTTCCTGAGTGTCTTCTTCCTGGCGCGGACCACCCTCCGATAGAGTAATGCCTGTCCCCCTTCCTCCGGCCCTCTTTTTTCCTTCTTCCCCCCCCCCCCCTCTTCGCATGGCCCTCACATGAAGCTTTGCGCCCTCCGCCTGCACACAGTGTGCGGGAGGAGGGGAAACCGAATCAAGAAAATGTGCCCCCCCTGCGTAGGGGAAATAGATTTAGATTGTGAGATGTGACTCTTGTGTGTGAGTACGTGTGTGTGAGTACGTGTGTGTGCGTGTGTGTGTGAGTACGTGTGAGTACGTGTGAGTACGTGTGAGTACGTGTGTGTGCGTGCGTGCGTGCGTGCGTGCTTGAATGGTCCCTGGGCAGAGCACGTCCGCGCCGCGGACAAGCAGGGCGGTGGGCAAGCTTGAAGCCGAGTCCCCAGAGACACTGTCCGTCCCCCGGCGCCGGGGCCTCGTGTACAGAGCGGATCGAGGTAGGGGGGGAGGGAGGAGCGCGGCGGGCCAAGGCGGCTCCCCCCCCCCCCCGGGGCCCCGCCTCGCCCCCCCCCGACACACACACCGCCAGGAGGCAGACAGACAGACTGCCGCGCCTGCACACACGGGGCCGGTACACATGGTAGACACATTTGGCGAGAGGCCCCCTCGGGTAGCAAAGTTCTTTTTCTCGGCGATCGGTTGGGCCAAAAAAAAGGGCGGGAGGGAGTGTGGCAATGATGATGCAGACCCCCCCGCGCCCACCAGCCAGCCGCAGCCGGGAAAAAAGGGGAGCCACGTCTCCCTCCGAAGATGACGAGGGAGGCCGCCACAGGGGGCCCCTCGGTCCGGAGAGAGAGAGTGCGGCATGAGGTTCAATTTGTAAATTGGAAAAAAGGGGGTGCCAGTCAGATTGCGATGCAACCCTGCCGAAGGCTGCAAGGGCCAGCGGCACGGTCATCAATTGCCAACGCGGTCAGATGCCAAGAGGCAACAACCACGGGCACGCTTCGCGCTCGGGAAGCATCGCTATTGCTCATCGTCCTGGGGTTTGTTGATGTCTAGTTTGGGTAAACTTGACGAGGACACATACTATAGAAATGATCCCTAGAGTACGGTCGACTAAAGCAAAATCCGATGGACTGCGCTCGTCGGACGGCTTCTTGTAGGGGGGCATCAGACCCCGGCTGGGCGGATGTTAAATGCACCCCTCAGATGAATAGCATTCTCCTCTTCTGGGGCTGCCTTCGTGGCATTTCCGCCGAGGGGATGGATTTCAATTGTGGCAAGAAAATGTGCCAATCTGAGGTCCCCCCGGAAAGAGCCGCGAACATATCCCGCGAGAGGAATGGCGTCACGGTGTGATGAAAAAGAACCCCACCAGACTCGATAACCCAAATCATCGATTGAGTTACCAACTCCACCGACGATGCCCTGGGACAGGGTTTGCCATTTATCAATGGCATTCCACCAAAGAGGAACATCGAAAGAAGCGGGAGCCGCATGTCGGCGTCGACCTCGAAGGTCCGGCCCTTGGCCAAACACCAAAGATCAATTCAGGGCCTCCCTCCCAGGAGCCTCCAAGCGACAGCATCACCGAAACACTGGTCGGACGTGTCGGCACCGGTACGGTTATGGGGCTCTCTCTTGGAGCCCTTTTAAATCATGTATTATCTTTCCTTTCGCTGGCCTTCCCACTTGCCCCAAGTCGGGTCGCCAGGCTCCCTGCCCTTCGGACAGACGGTACTTGCCCGGATGTCGTGCGCCCTCCTTTCATGCCCGGAGGATGTGCCTCGAACCGGCTGCGCGTTTCCGACGTGGCTCCCGTCACAGTTCGCCGCCTCCGGCGGAAAGACCGATCTGTGAGAGCCGCGCCACATCGAGGAATGTGTCACGTGCGTAATCATGATACGGCGAAATATTCGGGTTCCCGGTGGCGGTCGGTGCATGCCTTCTTCGGGTCACGGTATTTTCTTTGCGTGCTTTTCGGACAGGTTCTGTTGTGGGCAAAGCTGCCACATCGTGGCCACCTTCCCCCCCCCCCCCCCGGTGTCCGCGGGCCAGGTGGGGGTGCATGCTTGCGCATCGGCGCCATGTATACTTTTGCCCCCGCCGGGACGGCCACATGCGTGTGCGTGCGTGTGTGTGGTGTATATGTATCATGCATACGGATGTGCGCGCAGCACCGGGACGGGGGCCAGTGACGTCGACAGCGTGTGGGGCGCGCGCGACCGCCACCACGAACAGCGGGGTACGTTGGGTGTGCTCACCTGGTGTATCCCCCCCCCCTCCCCCCGAGCAAGAGTGTGCGCGCCCCCGGAGGCTGGTGAGGGTCTTTATACATGCCGTGGATGCCATCCCCCCCCCCCCCCCCACACACACACACACGGACCCAAACACCCGCTCCCAAAGACCCGGGACTCGCGACCGTCTGCCGAAAGCCCGACCGACGAGGGCAGGGGCAGGGGCAGAGGAGGGAGGGGGGGCCCCTTTGGTGTGGGTAGCTGTTTTGGTGCTGCTCAGCGCGCACCCAGATGAGCACCCCCCTGGCAGCCTACATCCCTCCCGGCAGAGCCTCGCCTCCTGGGACCACGGCACAGTGGGGGGCGGGCGGGGGCAACGTGGGCGTGCATGCGAATACCGCTTTGGGCGCTCACGCACACGCCGGCAGACCGACGCCGAGAAAAGAACCCGCATATATACGGAGTGCAAACACCATGAGCAACACATATAGGGACAAACGTCCGCCGCCGGGTCCTCAGGGGAGCTGGCCGCCGGCTGCCCATGCTCTCAGCGGACGGTGTTGTTCGGGGCCGGCCCGCACTGTCATCATCGTCCTCGGGGAGAAGTCGTCTGCCAGCGCGCCAGTTCGGCGACCGGGCCCGGCCTGCGGATATGAGTGTGTGTGCGTGTGTGCGTGTGTGTGTGTGTGTGTGTATGTTGTTGCGTGTATGCACGCATGGGAGGTGCATGTGTGTGTATGTGTTTGTGTGCGGAAGGTGAGGGGCATGAGAGGGGGGCGGGGGGGGGGGATTTCCCGTGGCATCCCTGGGCATCACCGGACAGCCGCCGCCCCGGGCAAGGCTCGGGTTAACTCCCCCAATGGGGCCGGGCTCCACCGCACGGGGTTCCCCCACCCGGCGGCCGCGCCGCGTCGATCCAGGCATCGCCTTCCGGCCAGCGGGCAAGGGGGACCGGGCGCGATTGCCTTGGCGCCATCCTTGTCCATGTTAAGAGCAATGCTAATAACCCGTCTCATCCCGGGGGGGGGGGGGGGGGGGGGGGGGGCGAGACGGGCAGGCGCGGTCGGCGCGCATGATTGGCCGGGTTGCTGCCGACGCCACAGGCACCCGTGTGTGGTCGGTCGGCCCGGGGTGCCCCTGGCCGGTGCCGAGAGCGACCCGAAGTCCGTGTGCCCGGGCCCGTGCGGACTGCTCCGTGGCGTACCGCCAAATTAATCCATCATCTCGCGAGGGCGTGCAAGAGGGCAAGGGCAGGGGAGCTGGCGACGCGCTTCACGGAAGCCGACCACACGGCCGCCCGACATCTGGCACTCTCCGACGGCCATGTGCCTGTAACTAGCAGCCCCCGGCCCGTGTCGCGGGGGACTGTGCATGGTCTGCTCGGGGGTGTCCGGCCGCCGGCCAGACAAGCCCGTCACCGGCACACCGTTTGTGGCCCCAGGACCGTGGGGTGCTTGAGGCCGCCGCCGCCGCCGCCGCCGCCGCCGCCGCCGCTGCCACGCGCACCCACACGCCGGGAGGGGGACCGAGGCCGGAGCCGATCGTGTAAGACCCGTAGACACGCACACATGGCCATGGCCGGGACTGCGTGCGCGCATGCGCGGCCGAATCCCCGGCGCCCGGCCCCGCCACCCGGCGTGCCTGGGGCAGGATCGTGGAGGCGCGGGTGCCACCTCAATCGGCCCATCGATTAATGATCACCCGGTTCCGGGTGAGTCAAGTGCATTCCCCCGGAGCGCATTCGCGCGCTTCGGCGAGCCGGGAGACCCCGCAAGGGGCGCGCCGATGCGCCGAAATCAGCTCCGTCGAACAACGTGGCTGCACTCGGCGCGTCCGGGCGCCCCCGCTCCTCTCGGTGCTGCGGGGAAACCCCCGGCGGTCCGGGCCCGCTCTGCCCCACAATCTCTCCCCCCCCCCGCTCCGAAGGTGGGCACTCAGGGGCCGGCTCCTCGGACGGCCGACACGTCGCCGCTGCCACTGCCGTGGCCGCTGCCCCCTCCGGTGCATATGAGCCCGACGGGGCTTTCTCGAAAGCTCGCCCTGCTTGGCCGACCGTTCCCCCCCCCCC